GTTGCCTGCAACTAATGGCATCCCATGCCCAATCAAGACTGGACGTCAAGAATTGGACATGGTCTTGGACTTCTCACCGTATGGAGCCATCATTTCACTGCTCAAGGACGACGCTCCGTATCAGGTTCAGATGATTTTACATGACGACGTCACCAAGGCGGATGTCGGATGCATCACCTTCCAAGCAAGAGCACGAATTCAATGATTGTACAAAGTGTAGAACAAATTACTGATGATAATTGCTGTGATCTTATGGGTATTTTGCTGTTGATCCAATGAATATCGTTTCTACTTCAGAATTTCTTTCTCTTTCTTCTTGCATCTAAATTGGAGGCAAGGGTCAGAGGCCTTTAGAGCTTCCTCGCCTTACTGTATTATGTTAAACTGGGGCTGAAATTTACTTATTATTTATTTATGCACTCATTGGTGCGCCATGACAACAACAGAGTGGGTTAGTTCTCATAGAATGATCGAGAACAAAAAAAGAAACAAAACCAAAAAAATATCAAAAAAATAGGGAAGCAGCAAACTGGTGAGGCGTCTACAGCACAGCATAAGGATGTCAGAAGAGAGGACTTAAAGGCACGAGTCGGGATTGAATTGATGCGTTATTTTGTTCGAAAATTAGGCAAGGAGTGCAATGAGGAACATTAGTGAGGAGAAAAAGCAAAAAGCACCATTGAAAACGGAATTTTACATATGATGTCGGCCGTGGTATGACCGGCATCATATGTATGTAAAATTGTATGTAAACGGAAGACACAGCGCTGCGAGGAGAGGGAGAACGCGAGATAGTACGTCGTACGCGAGAGGACGCAGAGACCACGTATGCCGTGGTGGATTACGCTGGCAGCGCGGCAGCGCACGGGCAAGGCCTTAGCGCCGTTGCCTCGCACTTTTGAGTCGCGACAGTGTCGTGCCTACTGCCCTTGGGACCCCTCTCCCTCACACTAGAGGGACTGGCTCTTGGAACCTAATCCCGACTCGTGGCTTCAAGGATAACTGAAATGATCAGAGTCTATCATTAGGCCTTCATTCTCGAAGCACTTTTTTTTCAAAGGTGAACAGCAGGGTCGCTAAAGCATCATGCGTGACGCAAGTGCGCCGCAAAGGTGCTAAGATCATGTTTTGGCTGCTGCGACCGCTGCGGTTTCAACTTCCTGCATGCAATTTGCGTCCTCTCGTACACCATGCTCTCTCACGCCTCTCCTCCTCCTCTCAGCGCTGGATCTCTCTTTTGTACCGCGGTCGAACTCACAAGCAGAGGCCTTCAATTTTGGTATTTTCTGTGGCTCTACTGGGTATTTTCCTCTTTCACTGTTCTCTTCACATTTCTCTTCCCTAGCGAAAAAGCACACCATTCCGACCGCGTCCCGTGCCTTTAAGGTACTGATTGAGGGTAACTGAGTAGTATCTTGGCTGTAGCGAGCTCTAAGGCCTTGTACCTTTTTCACAAAAAAATGCCTCTCCAAAAAAAGAAGTATGAGAAATGAAGTGAGAAGGAAAGAAAGCGCCGAAAGATTTGATGAGGAGGCTGTCGGACCCACGATAGCGCCCCAATCTTTCATGTTGTTTAGCAGCCTGCTAAGACCTTGTGGACTCACCACAGGTTAGTTCGTTCGCTGGGATCGTTTATTTTGTATTATTTCGCGTTTCCGGGAACTCAGTAAGATTAGGCGCTTTACCGGGTGAGCTACAGAGCTAGGACTTCGAACCAGTTTCAGGTCCTGAAGACGACGATTTGTCGAAACGTTGACCAATAAACGTGTTCCACCATAACAACCTGTATGGCACAGAAGAAAAAACACACTATACGTATTGTTTGATTTTCTTTGTAACAACATTTGTAAATAAATAAACAAATAATAAACAAATAAACATGTCGTCGGGGAAAATTGCCTAGAAGAAACTTCGTATTTGATGCCTACATAGCAGACTTTTCCGAAATCATGGATACCCATTTATTAAATGGACTGTGATAATCCAGTGTTGATTATCCATGTAGCTCTAGACGCGGGCTGTAAACATCTGAAAAGAATTGCTTGTCAACATCGAGTAATTACTTCACTCCTCATTTACTACTAACCGCAGCACATTGATTTCTGGCGCTGTGCTTTGGACTGAACTACTATGAGTAAAGGTAGCCTAACTGAGTAATCCTATCAGAAGGCCTTTTCTGACGAATTATCTCCAGAGGGATGCTCGGGAACATTTTCTGTGCTTCTTTCAGAGCCTCTTCAGATTTTCTTGGAAATTGCCGACCTTCGTTGGCCGGAGCAATCCAGTTATGGCCTGCCCAAATTCACTTCCACTCACCTGCCTATCGATTTTTCGTTTTGTAAGTGTTCACTATGGCAACACTCCTAATATGCCCTGAAAGCCCAACTGCTTTCTGCCCACCTTGATTTTGGATTGTTGCCAAGCAAAGTATAACTGCATGAGAGAAAAAATCCCTGAGATTTGTTTTAAGTAAAAAAAAACCTAAAAATTAAATGGGATATGGAAAAAATGAAGAAAAATCGAACCTCTGTAGGCCTGGAGCGTATGCCAATAGATTTATCTGTGAACTGGTGATGTACTGAAAGCAATAAATGCAAATCGGGACACGGAGTGCCGCCACAGTGAATATGAGCGCTGTGAGCCTATTATTCGTTATGTTCATTATGGCCGCTTGGCCCTCTCACCTACGGCCGTTCCCCCACTACGCTCAATATCTGACCCGTACATTTCATATTTTACCTCGTGGCTAAAATTTTGTCTGGAAATTTTGTGCTCATTTGCAAGGACGAGCGCTTCAACTTATTTATTTCGGTATTACCCTTTTATTTCGATGTTTGTTTGTTTGTTTGTTTGTTTGTTTGTTCAGTCATTGTAAATAATTCCTCTAGACCTGGAATAGTTCATAGCTGAAATCGCTTATGATCCTCGCTCGAAATTATTTTAGAAAAAAGCACATTTCAATTGATCACAAAGAAAGCTTGTGAAAATATAAAGCTCAAAAATCCTCTGATTCCACTGGTTCGATAAATACATGTATTATTATTTACCTGTTCCATAATCACATATTATAATAATTTTATATTAACAGATTAATTTATATTACCACACCAAAGCAGATTAATTAACAATGAGGCATCTCATTAAAAATTATGATTTTGATTGAAATGCTTATTTGAATTTCAAAATTGTGTTTAGATTTTTGAAAATTTGCTTTCTTTTCTTCCAATCGCCTTATATCATTATGCTTGTTGTGCAAATAAAAGAACCAGGTTGAAATGCTGAAGCTTAAAATTTTTGATTTCGATCAATCCCTTGTTAGGATGCGCCATGCGCTTTACATTTTTTAGAATAGCAACAGCATTTGCACGATGTATGGCCTATGCTGTAAATTGCTGGGGACGGCCAATAAACATGGCAGGTTTTTCAGAAACCGCGTACCAATTCACTGACGGAAAACTATGTCGGCCTGGGCGAGATTCGGTCTGGAGCTTCGTCCCGGATCGTGGAAGGGAAAGTGACGCCACATGCCACTATACCACCGCGACCGATGCGTTCTGGCTTTTGTCGGGCGATATCCCAAATCCAGATTCGGTTTTCTGAACCCCAGCTCTAGCATGGATCTGGAACAGAACAAAGCAAAGATAATTGTTGCTGTACAGTGAGACCCCACGGCGTTTAGCGGATAAGTCACAGTCACACAGCCCAAATTGTAGCCAAATCAACAAGGTGTTTCCGAAACCGAATAGGGTACCCAATCCCCTAGACTCACTTCACTGCTTTTCTGGGTTCTATGATGTTTATAGATTCTTCGATTTATTTCGGCTTTTTTCTTTGAACAGGAGTTTTTTCTTTTTCTGTGATAAGAGAAAATTATGTTATTTCTTGGTTTATTTATTTACTTTATTTATTTATTTATTTATTTATTTATTTATTTATATTATTTATTTATTTATTTATTTATTTATTTATTATTTATTTATTTATTTTTATTTGCATGCACTCGAAGGTTTTAGCCATTAAGCAAGAAGGAGTAGAAAAGCAGTCCGAAACAGGGATAAGCAAGGTAACAAGGGCGCAGGTACTCCGCTCAGCCTAAACTCCTGGGAAAAAATCTCGAGCCAAGATCACCTGTTCACGAAAAAGAGACCCTCAATCAGGGTCAACTGTCCGTTGGTGCAATTAACAACGAGGAGATCCTTTTTTGCAGATTTGTGAGGGGTCGTTTATGGGGACTGCCAACTCTCCAAATCTCATAATTGTGTCAGTATGTCATCAAATTGATGGTGTAGTGTTTGCGCGAGAGGAGGCAGGCGTTTCAGACGTCTTTTTCTCAGAGAATTCAAAAAATAACCATTGCAGTGGTTACATGGAAGGATTGGGCGCCCCGTCAACAAATCTGCTCTTCCCCCAACCCTGCTCCCCCCTGACGACTGAGAAAGTAGGTCGTAAAATTTTTGAAAAAAAAAACTACCAGCGCTATAGTTAGCCCTGCCCCCATGACCAATGCCCACACCGATTCTGAAGTGAAAAATTATCTGCTTCAGAGTCGTCGTCGGGGTTTTGCAGCTCCAATTATGAAACGGGAAACGACACAAAGTGTTTAGAAAATAGGACACAATCATCGATCGAATAATCCTGAATGCGCACTCAACCGTACTGTTTTCCCATATCTTCGGCTCCAGCCGTAATCTTCGCCTTCTATCGAAATTAGGCCAGAAGATAGCTCGAAAACGAGGGGCGTTTTTCTGGCTGACTTTCGATCAACTTTAAGGAGACTTGAAACCAGGCACCAGGCTGACATCTCAAGGAACTTTTATTAAGCCACAACATAAAATTTAACGAATTTTGAAGACCTGTTGATGATATCTTGGCGCTTTCTAGGCATAAGCTATGTACAGTTCATCACATCCTCTAGTATTACTCCTGAGACTACTCCTCGTTGCATGAACTTCCGAATTCTATACAAATTCTTTTCACTCTGGGAGCTCATCCTTAAACTCCCACACGATGTCTTCCTCGTTCGACTGTCGGTATTCTCTCCATGCTGCCAACGCCACTTCTTCGGGACAAACTCTTGCTGGGTGCTATCGCAGATTACGGGTGGGAATTTTATTCTTACAAGGGAAGGATGGTAGGTCGAAGTGGCCGTTTGAAATGAAATGTATACCTCCTGATGCGTCTCCAGACGCTGATTCCAAATCTGCCTTCCAAATCTGCTAAACGACTCTCCGAACGGAGTTATGAAGCGTAATAGCTCAGTGGTGATGGTCAGGGTGGCAGGTAAAAGCTCGTAGGATCGGTTCCTTTGCAAGTTGGTTGCTTTGCTTTTGTCTCTAGAAGTGTTGCGGACAAAAGCAAAGCAACAAACTTGCAAAGGAACCGATCCTACGAGCTTTTACCTGCCACCCCGGACCATCACCACTGAGCTATTACGCTTCATAACTCCGTTCGGAGAGCCGTTTAGCAGATTTGGAAGGCAGATTTGGAATCAGCGTCTAGAGACGCATCAGGTGGTATACATCTCATTTTATACGGCCACTTCGACCTACCATCCTTTCCTTGTAAGCCTAGTGAGTGAAGGATTAACCCGTAAAAGAAATGACACTCTGCACCACATCCTGATTTTCGTCTTCTTGATCGTCTAATTAGGAGTCTGTTTTCAAACGAAAAAAAAAGGGGTTTCAGACGGCGGCTTCGAGCAGTGTTGCACCCGCAGTGCCACGTATTTTTGCGATAGCTCACTGTTGTGTAGAATTCTCGCTGGTAGTGGCAGAAACTTGAAAAAAGTGAAGAAGGATGGACATCGGAGAAGCTCACGGTCTTCTTTTTAGGCTTAAAAACCATATATTCGCTGTTATCTCCTGACACACCCCCATCCGACAAATGTGCCCGTGGCCACAAACTTTCTACTGTTTTCGGTGAGAGTGCCAAGCGGCGCTCGTTCCAAGTGTCAGTCATTGTTCAGTTCAAGTTTAGCAAGCCATACGTGGATCAACCGCGTGGTGTTTTCAACAACATATAGTAACAGTCAACAAGAAGATCATTTTGATGCTGCATTGTTGCGATCACTCTGAGTACGCATGAATTCCGAAGAGCTTACTTTATCTCCTTAAAGCAGCCGTGTCTTTCACCAAATCAGAAATTTGCGAAAATTCAGCTCGCTAAGATTAAGCACCTGCAGTTCTGCCCTAGTATTCGTGCCAACCTGTTGCTGGGATGCTCCAGTTCATAATTTGTCTCCCATGACTCAACCCTGCTAGCGTGATGGAAGTCGACAGGCGCTCTGACTTCCGGTAAAGCCTGGAAAAGCAGGAGCGAGGCTCCAAGCTTATTACTCACAGCTTCACTCTGTGTAACATTATTTTGGTGGTCCCCCTAGCGAACAAATTTTTTCTAACTCTCACCATTTTTATGCACCAGCTAATCAGAGCGCTCCATTTTGCACAGATTTTCTGCTATTATGTTTAATCAGACAGCGTAGAAGGCCTAAAAAGGATTCGCTATTTCTCCATGTATCACTCAAGGGCACGGATCGGTAATAGGCAGCCAAACCAACCTCTTCCATCAGTTCTGCTGGTCGGTGCGCAACTACAGAGGCAAAGCCACGCTCTTGATTCGAAAGCGCACGTAATATCCCCCTCCTATTCATTATTCTGAGTTACCGCAGCCTAGCTCAAGCTATGACAGCCCTCTTCTAGAGGTGGCGTAGCATGGCAGCTCATGCGAACCACATCTTGCCATTAGACACGCTCCTTCATTCTAAAAGCCGAAGATGACAGAAGAAATTAGGAAAACGCGTTCGGAAAACTCGTCCGGACACTCCTGTTTATGCGAGGCTCCTCCGCTGCTCTCATGGAGGAAAGAGTCCATTTTTGGCTTTGCGTACGGTTTCTTTCCGTTCATTCTTCACTGTAGATGCAATTCACATCTCTGCTGTCATTTTCAAGCGCCATAGACCTCCAAATTGATCGTGACCCTTGCCTTTAACTAAATTAGTATTAGTGCCTCCCTTTTCAGATAAGCTTATCCAGCTTCTTAAATTGTTGTCCAGGCGCAAATTATCTATTTTGTTATATATAAATATTTAGTCATAGCCACAGTAACCCATACAAATTACCCATATAGTTAGGCTGTGCTAGTTCTATTAGGAAATGTACGCCGTTTGGGCCATATAGAATATTTCACCAAAAAAATTGGCCGGGTACAGTTTAACATTATCTGGATGTGCTGTTAGAAAACCCAAATAACCTGCGTATTCACAATTTTGCCCATCCAATCTACTGTTACAAAACCAAATGGACCCTGCGTTTCAGCATTTTGCTCAGCCAACTGTGTTCTAAACTCCTGGCCGATGACGGGGAAACGCGATTTGCGAATCCTCTTTTTCGCTTAGTTCCAAATCCCAGATTGCAGTGTCTGGGAGCGTCACTAGTCTGACTTCCCGACCACTATCCGATTAGGCCGTTATCACAAACAACAGCAGGGCTTCTTGTAAACATTGCTGTGCAAGGCTAACTATTAATAGGCGCAAATCCATGTGAAGATTGAAGCAGGTTATAAGATTTTTAGCGGGAATTTTTATCAGAAAAAAAAGTCCGGAAATTGTACTGCGCAAATTTTTATTTTTTGACCTTCAAAGAGTTCACAATTACATGTGTCCCTGTTTAAGCAAAGTCCAATATCATAACCCGATACTGTGTGTTATTATTACGGCCTGAAAGCAGCCAGTATTGTCAAGTGTAACAGCAGTAAAGAAAAAACGGGAAGAAATCATCGACAATGACGAAAATAATCTCATCTCTAGTGGCGACAGGAAAAACAGCATTGACTTGTGGGCGAAGTTCAGTGGTGGTTTCGGTGGAGTCAATTCACCGAGGTCTGAGCCAGGGTCAACCCTACGTTGTTACGAGTAACAACGGGGGGGTCGTACTCAGTTGAGCTTGGAGGGAGGGGGGTCGTACCCTCTCGGTGGCCGACAGTGGGATTCTTGGTAATATCGGATAATAGCCAGCACGTTACGTTTTCGTAAGATGACTGATACAGCATCTATAAACCACGATTCCCTCTAAATGAGCTTTCAAATGAATCAGCGAATTAGAAGGGCGCCCGAGGCGTGGCGCGCACCAAGGCAAGGGATGTAGTGCAAGCGCATGCTCGGAGCTTTCTAGCACATCCTAAATTAAACATAAAATTGGTCTTCCAAGAAGTTACGGGCAGTGAAACCTAAGAAAACTCGCGTTTTCGAGAAAATGGCTTGAAGAATACCCCACAAAATAAAAAGTAACAACGGGCTAATTTTTGAACTGCTGATCTTTCAGAAACGCTTGGGTGCTCGTTAGAAAGCTTGAAACCTGTAGTTTATTATACCGTGTTCAGCTTCCCAAATGAATGACTTTGAAGGAAGTTATGATCGTTTGAAGGTCAAAAAGTCGCGGTTCCAAAAAAATAGTAACGCAAACCCCCAAAAAAGTAACAACGGGACTAATTTTTGAACTACTGATCTTTCAGGAACGCTTGGGTGCTCCTTAGAAAGCTTGAATCCTGTAGTTTATTATACGTGTTCAGCTTCCCAAATGAGTGACTTTGAAAGAAGTTATGATCATTTGAAGGTCAAAAAGTCGCTTTGCACAGAAAAAAGTAACAACGTACTAAATTTTTATTAAATTAACTTTCGAAGAATTTTTACCTATGGTTGGAGAGAGAATAATTTGAATTTTCCAAATCAAATCACTTCGGCGCAGAAGCTCGAATATGAAGGAAGTTATAGCCTTAGAAAGAGGGGTGTAAAAATTGTGTTGCAATTGAAGAACGTGAAGGATTTCAGTATTTCAATTGGAGCGATAATTTTTTCTGACTTCTCATAAGTTTTTATCAGGTAATATTGTCAATATTCCGGTCACTGGTTCAGCTTATTTCATCTCCTAGTTTGGTAACCCTTTGGAGTACACGGATATCTTTGAATGCATCTCATTTTTTCGTGTTTGCAAGCAGCGATGAATTTCTGTCGTGGATTTTGCTAAAGTTTCATCTTTAATGACTTACGTAGAAATAAATATTGATGGTAAACACTGTCTCTACACAAGTGTTACATACAAAGGGGGGGGGTCGTATCAAACCACCCCTGAAGGGGGGGGGGTCGTAAAAAATTTCCGAAGAGTAACAACGATAGGGTTGACCCTGGTCCAGCTCCTCGGCCTGTCAAATCATCCGCAAAGCTGTGTATACGCTACCTGCACCGCTGCATTTTTTCGCGGGAAAGGATCAATTTTGACCAGAAATTATGGAACCTTCTTTCATGAAGAATTTTATGACGACGCTGATCCGATCATGAAAATTTGGCAAATGGTTATATTATACACATCGGCCAAATGCATACAGAAGGCATTGAGATTTGGAAATGAACTAAATTGCATGGCGCATACCAAAGCGCTTTGGCATGCGCATGCACATAGGGTCAATGTTTCAATTCAAAACGCAGATATCTATCTCACTGGTTCGTGAAAATGATTTTTTGAACAATTGCAGAATTTTTAAAACTTTACATCACAAAACCATAATGCATTTAGAAAGCTCTAGAATCCTGCAGCGCTCTTGTC